CATTCTAAAAACCCCGCCACCTCAAAAAATAAAAAAATAAAAAAACACACCAACATGTCATTTTGGGCATGTTACTGTTTTAGAAGTTGATAAAAACTTCAACAGGCAGACTTCCTTTTAGAGAAAAGACCATTATTTTTCTTGCTCTTTTTTTAGCTTTATTCTCTTTTAAGGAGTGATTAAAACTTAGAAGACTGATTAAGAGGAACTGAACTTTAAGTTCCCTTTTTCATTCTTTTTCCATATGGGATAAGCGAACTAGAATAAAGCTCTCAAGGGAGCTTCAAATGTATGCAGGTAAAGGGAACTTCTCTATTCCAAAACATGATTGATCAGGAACGCTTGTATTCACATATAATAACAAAAGCAGCGAGCAAGACCATTCTCGGGGCATCTTATCACCATTTCTTGGTTCTCTTTTTTATGCAACTGCTTCTCATGGGTGCTATCCTACATCAAGAAAACTGAAATATTTCTCCTAGTAGCTATTTTTGGGGGCAGTTTAATTTATAAGTTGCAGAAAACGAAGTGTGCTCGAGTGTTAAAGCTCTTTAAGATAAAGAAGAAACAGGATAAACAATGTTAATAATTGAAACAACATTACAATTTTTTTCTTTATTGTTTGACCTAATAGTACTTTGATCTGCTCTTGTTTAAAAGTTCAGACAAGTACAAATACCCAAATACCTTCAAAAAACCACTAGATTTAATGTAAAACAACGAAAGCTCAAAACCACACAATATTGAACTGTTAGAAAAACACAAAAATTCGAATTGTAACTAAACCAAACAATAGAAAGCCAAAAATGGTAGTTAAGATTAAATATCACTTCAAGCATCAGTCACAGCAAAGTTTAAGCATGGCTCCAGCATCATCAGTGTGCCATTTTTTGAAATACACCATCAATGTACCATTAGAAAGAAATTTTTAAGATAAATTTTTTTATTTCAAAAAAAGTTTTTATTTCTTTTAAAAGCTTAGTAAAAGACCTCTTTTTAGAGCTTATTAAAAGCTCTCTTAAACAAGCTATATACAACTTTTAATTTTCAAAAGCTCTTCTTTTAAAAAAAGAAAAAGAGAAAGTATATCAAAAAGAAACCATTGAAAGCAAAAGACTGAGAAAGGGAACACTAAACATCTACACAAGTTCCAAGATCCTCTCCAGAAAGAGTGGAATGATATCTATACAAAAACCTAAAAGTCAGGAACCAATGGGCTCACAGAAGAAGAGACTTTGTATCAGGGACCCATGTGTCACGTAAGGGCTGACTGTCAACAGAGAAACTGCTGGAGTTGTGTCTTTACTGTTTTTTTTTTTTTTTTTTCTGTTATTCCCTTCCTACTGTCTTGGGCAGAATAATATAAAAAGGGGAAGATTACAAGTAAGGGCATCATCATACTCTTTTGGAAAATACTGGAATATCGAGCTAATCAATGATTAACTTCTCTTCTCTTTCTAAACCTATTATTCTCCGTTCTTCTCAATTCCGTCCTCTTCTCTCTGTTTTCGCTCTCCAAAACTCAAATCCTTCTCTTAATCAGATTCCTGATCAAAGGATTCTGGCACTTTTTGTCACAAAAGATTCAACAATTCTTTCCGTCCATGTAACTCACATGGTGACCAGCAGAATGAGTGGGATTAGATTCTTCCTTCACATGCCCAAAGGGATACTATTTCAAGCTCAGGTTTCAAGCGCTACAGCACTGCAGACAACCTGAGAAGTTTAAGAAAAGAGAAAACAAATCCCATGATCTTCTCATCTTTGGCCACCAAAGGAGATAATCTTGGGATTGTTATCCCAAAGGCAAAGTTCCCATGAATATCTTATTAAGTTATCCAAAGAAAGATTTTTGCTCCAAACCACTTACCAAGCAAAGAAGAAAATACGGGGCGAAGCTTTCTTCTTCTAGATACTATGTAAACACCTTAGGCTCTTAGAAATCACTAAGATCATCATAGGCTCTCAGAGGGCCCTTTTCATGGCATAACAGGGTAGCAGCTCCTTTGTGTCTTGGTATGTCAATAATATAATTCCTTTTTCCTCTCAAAGAAAAAAATAGGAAAGCAACAAAGAAGCAAAAACAATAATAATAATAATAGTTCAGAAAAATAACTTATAAGAATCAAGTTCAAAAGAATATTTTGTAAAACTTTGAAGAGTTTCCGAAAAACAATTATATAGTTCATCAGATTTACAAAATAATGATTGTCTATAATATTTTGTCCCCATCAAAAATTCATAATTATTTATACATTTTCAGCTTACTAGAACATGTTAGTAAAATTGTATAAGTATGACACATGGTTAACCACTTGAAGAACTTTTGAAGAATTTTATTTTTGCTTACCGTACATCAAGATTTTTATCCCACATCATATCAATAATGTCCTAAGATTTTTGCCTAGATTTTTGCCTAGTTCGTTTTGATCAGAAAGGAGATATACTATCTATATATTTGTGCAAATATTTATGTATTTTTATATGAATTTTTATACATCAAAGCTAATATGTTACCTGTGGGGAGTTATTGAATGTCCACTTCGTTGGATTGATTTCAGTAAAAGTATATTCATCGCCAGGGTTGGAACGCATCAACTGTGGACAAATTCATAAACAAAAAATCCAATAAATGAAAAGGTGAAGATGCTCAAATTTGCTGTAAGATAAAACATATGCCCAAATGCATTAACATCAACAGAAACATTAACTTGAAAAAAAAAATGCATGTGCATGTAGATAGAAAACTTGAACCACATCTCTGACTGCAAATCCACAGCTTCCAATACAAGCTAGGCCATAAAAAACTCTTCAATAAACTGAAAACTAGTTCCATATTGTTATGCCTCAACAACCCGTCTGATTTTACGGATTTGTTAAATAAATCAGTATATCCATAAAATATCACCTCCACATCGATACACACCTAACAGCTAGCTTGGGGCCTTGATACACCAAGCATCCAGGTTATGCCTTTGTCTGCCATACTTTGTTCTAAGGAAAAGCATCCAAATTTTTTTAAATAAAAAAGTATATAAAGTATCATTAAATACAAGCACCAAGAGGGTGCGAACCTATCAAAATTATTTACATGTCAATCAGGAAATTGATCAGTTTCACCATAAGTGCAAATGTTGACCCATAACCAAAAAACTAGGGTCTGGAACCATCTCGCTCTAATCTTATCAATATCCTCTTCTACCCCATCAAATGCTCTCCTATTTCTTCCGTTCCATACTACCCAAAAGATTGCAAGAGGAATGAGCCCTAAATGTTTTTTTCCGACTAATAATACCCTTCTATATCCAAATCTCACCTGTTATAATACCAGCCATTATCCAACTGAACCCTAGAATCTCATATGCCATAGACCATAGACTATAGGCAATGGGGCACCAAAGTAGAATATGGTCACATCACAAGTCTCCTCCGTCCCTTACAGAAAGAGCACCAGTTTACCATGATCTTCCCTTTCTTATCAGCTTATTGATGATCAGAATACATCTACGACCTACTTCCCAAGTGAAGAAAGCAACTCCAGAAGGTGCATTCACCTTCCAGATTTGCCTAAACAAAAAATTATCCTCGATGGAATCTTTCTTTATAGAAAGACCCAACTGTGAAAATCTCTATTGCACTAAGGATCCAAATCAGTTGGTCATGATTCTCGTTCAGAGATACAGAAAACAGTGAACTTAAGAGTGATTCAACAAAGTCATTCAATACTTAATAGGGCTAAGCATTGAAATTGCCAATAGCTTTTACAAGCTTCAATCAATCTCTAATTCCTCAAGAGCATTAAATGCCTAGATATTATAAACATTAACTCCATTCAACGAGACCACTACCACATTTTTATTGTAAAAGATACAGGAGCCACAAAGCCAGGTAATTGACCTCCTTCTACCTGAATTTCTAATCCTTCATTTAGGAAACCTCTTCCCTACAGAATCAGAAGAGCCCTAAAGAAGGACCAAGGAAAACATATCTGTTCATTGTGCAAGCAGTCAAACTTCAGCCTGACTGCCTTATCCAGTAAAGGTATCAAGCTTACTCACAAAGTTAAGACAAAACAATCTTATCTCTAGGGTCAATCCAAAAGACAGAGACCAACATTCACAAGCAAAAGTATGAAGACGACTCAAAGGAACCAAGCTTTCCTACCCTATCAACCTCATGTCTGGGAGACAAAAGATAATTGGCAAATTATTTCAACTCCTAGTTTTTTCGCCCATTTCAAAATAAAATTATTTTTTTGTGATAGTTCAACACTGGGATCTAATCATTAGACAATAGGATAAATTTATTACTTCAATGACAACGCAAGTCTTCCATAGACAATGCAACTCTTCCATAACTTTAAAACTCATCTTTTGTTCAAATTGTAACAGTTCAATATTGGGATCCAATCATTAGCCAAAATAAAAAATTGTTACTTTGTGTAAGTCTTTTTATTTCAGAAAAAAAAATGAAGACATAAGTCTTCCATAACTTTAAAACTCATTTTTTAATTATTTTTAAAAAAATCTCTCTTTCTTTCTTCATTTTGATAAATAATCCCACTTTCAAAATTCCTATTATATGTTAAAACTCCGAGTATGACGCTCAAGTTTTATCCGTATATAGACAATTATAAAAGAATCTTAAACGAAAAAACATTCTTAAAGCCATGTGAGGTTTGTGTGAAATCCACATTGGTTACTAAAATATTGTACTTATCCCTTTCAAGGTAACGAATTGTCACAAAAACAAACCACAAAAATCTTTTTCTTCAGATAGGTCAATCACAAGAGGCAAAACTGTAATTTTCCCTAATAATAGTGTTATAGGATGCAAATAAATGTCACATATTTACCTAGTATTTCTCTATTCTTACAAGTCTATAACAAAGTCCAAAACATTGTAGGGTCCTATAATATAACAAAAATAGGAAAATAGACAAGTCATAATTGTTACAAGCTTCTGGTGAAATTTACTTCCTTTATCAAGCTTGGTT